TAGGGGTGGGTGAAGATGGGCAAGGGGGGCGGGAACACCTGCAATAAGGTCAACATTAAAAAAATTTTAATTAAAAAAAAAGACAATAAAGTTGATCTCCTACAAATCAATACTATCAGCTGTGGATGACCCTACTGAAACAATCTTGTTATAACTAAAGAAAACGTAAAGAAAGGTTCTCAGCAACAAAGCTATTTCTTTGACTAAGGACACTACTTTGATTAACCTGACTGTCCATGTAGTTTTTACACAAGCAATCGTTTTTAAAAAAGTTTTTTTTTAAAATCCTCACCAGAGGCTATGCTTAGAGAAGGGGGGGGGGGGAGGAACATCGATGTGAGAGACAAATCCATTGGCTGCCTCCCACAGGAGCCCAGGGATCGGACTCAGGACCCTTTGGAGCGCAGGAAAACGCTGTAACTACTGAGCTACACTGGCCAGGGCCCTATTTCCCTTTTAATCTTCCTTAGACCGTCACACTCACTGCTTGTGACCCTGTCAGCTCCCTGCCCTGGCCACACACGCAGCAGAAGCCTTGCCCAGATCATCCCATAGGTCTACCTCCTCTCCCAGGGCTGAGACAGCCCCACAGCCAGAAGAGAGGCCTCTTCCAGGGCACCGTGTCCAGTGTCCACTGGGTTTCCAACACAGCCCAGCCCTCCTTCCACAAGGGTCTTTTCAGCATTCTCCCTATAGCAGCTCTTCCAACTTGACCACTCTCTGCAGGCTACCCTCCAAGGCCTACTCCACCATCTCCAAGTCACCTCACCTTCTACTGCAGAGAGAAACGTTCTGGGCTTCCTACCCCCAACCAGGGCCGTCTTCCTCTGGGCCCTCCTGCTAAACAGTGCTCCTCCCACCTTTGCCCTCAGTGAGCCCCTGCCACCATGTGCCCACCTGGCCCTTTCCCATCAGCTTGGCACCAGCTCCCTCTCATGTCTCTACCGAAACCCAAACACTCTTTCAGCTCTAATGCCCCAAATCCTGATTCCACAGTGGGAGAGTTGTGAGGACAACTTCATTACACGTTTCCTGCCCACAGGAAACGTTCATCAGTCATTCATCCAGATGATAACAGCAACCACCATGTGATAAGAGCTAACTAACATTTTTAGTTCTACCATGTTGCAGACACTGTAACCCTGTGCTGTCCGATATGCTAGCCATTGGCCACCTATAGCCACTGAGCACTGGAAATGTGGCCAGTGTGGCTGAGGACCTGAATTTTAAATTCTATTTTAATCACAACTTAAATTTCAAAACAATAGTTCTGTAAAATATTTTCCCATTCAACACAAGTAGCTCTTACTTTGCTGAATATCTGCGTCCAAATAGAGTGGACAATGAGTATAAAATGTGCGGTGGATTTCAAAGACTTAGTTCAGGAAAAAGCAGGAATGCAACGATTTGTGTCTCAGTAACGATTTTTACATCGATGACATGTGGAGATGATAGTATTTTGAGTATATTTAGTTAAATAAAATTTATCATTAAGACTAATTGCACCTGCTTTCCCTTTCTCACGTGGCTACAAGAAAATTTAAGATCACAAGTGTGGCCTGCATTATATTTTTGGAGGACTGGGCTGGTACCTTATATGAACTGCCCCCCAATCTCATTAATGAGGTCCAACTATTACCCTGATTTTACAGATGAGGAAACCAAGGCTCCAAGCCGAGGTCATGCTGTTAGTAAGAGCTGGAGCCTGACCTGAATCCATGCATTGGACCTCAGAGTGCTTTTTTTGCAAGTATAGTGCTTACAAAGTGTTTCCACTTTGAGTTTTTTAAAAATTCTACTAGGTGAGGAAGAAAAATAGAAAGAATGAAGGAAGAACGAAGAGAAGCCTGTCCTTCTGGCCTGGCGGAGAGCCTGGCATGCAGCAGGCACACACTTAATGCTGTCACAGGAGTGAGCAACCACGGACAACCAGGGAGGTGTGCCAATGCGCCCCACCTGTGCATAGCGCCCGCTGCAGATGGCCCCTCTCCAGTCAGGGACATCGATGCAGTCTGGGTGCCGGACCAGCCAGTTGTCAGCCTTGGTGAGGTAGGAGCCGGGGTACTCGGATACAGAGCCATCCACGTCGTGAAACACCGACGTCTTGTCTCCATCCATGTCCAGCTGGTTGAACCAGGGCCCAGGCTCCCCGAAGAACACTCTGGAAGTAATCTGAACAGAGCCCAGGAAAGTCAGGCAGGGCCAGGAGGTGAAGGGAAACTGCAGTCGTCATCAGACCGGGGCAAAGTTTCCAATTTCCGCTGACATTACACACCAGCCAAACCAAAGATGCTCTCGGGCACTGGGGGAAACCGCACGCTGACCTTGCAGACGGGGCCGGAGAAAAGGCCAGACCTCCCCCGTACCTCAACTTCCACACCCAGCACAGTATTTTAGCCTCTGCTCACGGGAGCGTTGGCTACTGTGGGTGACCTGGTCCCTGGCTCACAAGGGTACAGAGATGGGCGGGGGACATGGGCCTGTGCGTGCGTGTGTGTGTGCGTGCGTGTGAATGAGACAGGTGGCGGTGAATGTTTGTATGAGGAAGTGTATACACACATGTTGGGAGGGGACATGTGTGAGTGTGGGCTGTGTTACAGGAAGACAGTCTTTCCACATGAGCCCCTGGAGATTTCCATGACTGGCCTCTTTCAGGCCCTAGTGGCCTGAGTAAAGAAATTAGGTAACTTCAGTTTCACATCTTTTCCCTCAGTCTGCTGTAACCGGCAGACCCGCCTAGGGCAGGAGCGGAGGGGAGGGGGAGGAAAGGCCTGGGAAATCTGCAACTCGGATAAAATGCACCAGGGGGTCGGACCTGCCTAGTCTCCAGGGGCAGCCCCTACCGATCTCCTTACCCTCTCTGCTACTTGTCAGCTGGCTGTAGCCAGGAGGCCCCTGTGTATGATCTGCCCTCAGGGAGAGACTGAAGACAGCATCTTCAGCAAAGATTCCCTCAGACACTGCAGGTTTTTAAAATTAACTGCCAACTCAGGTGGCCGAGTCACGAGACTCAGGTCAAATGCAAGATGCTTGGAGGAGCAGCCTCAGAACCTGGAGCCCAGTGTGCGGCTCCCGCTGAGGTCCTGGCGGCTTTGAGCAGGGTAAGGGCAAGCAGGCACCGACCCCAACCTGACCTGTGGGGCACCCCATGCTTGTACTTTTCCAGTTTGGATGCAGAGAGAACTGGGATGTGGCCCAGCCTGCTCAGAGGAGGCCGTTCAAACCCTGTGGTGGTGGCAGCAGCTCAAGTCCAGCCCCCGGGGACTGGTGACTCACTGCCTAGAGTCTGGGTTTGCAGGGAGCTGGCCCCGGCGCCTCACTCACCGGGACGTCCTCAAAGGCAATATTGGTCACGTTGTTGTGGGGGCAGCTCTGCCAGGCGTTGTTCAGGCGGAAGGCCAGGGCACTAGTGTGCCGGCCCTCCAGGGCCACAAACTTGCGGAAAGTACAGTTCTGAATGTTGATGGGGCCATCGTAGAACTGGATTCCTCGGATCGGAAAATTCCTGTGGAGTTAGGGATGTCGGTGTCAGAAAAATCGCCAAGTTTGCCCCCTCCAAGGGAGATGGCAACAGAGACCTTCTGGATAAATGCTTCCTGACCCCTACCCCCAGCAACTCCCCATCCAGAGAACACTGACTCACTTGTTAATTCACTGGGAAAGCATTCGTGGACATAGTAAACGTCAATAAATGATGGTGAGTGGATGGATGGGTGGATGGAGAGATGAATGTCTGTCTAGTTGTTGGCTTGGGGTTTTGGGGATCATCCTCTATTGAAAACCAATTCCCCAATTTTTCCACCCTATGAAGAGTCACTGGGTAAATACCGTAAATACTGCTGGAGAGTACCAGTATCATTGTCTCTTGGGAAGGGAGAGCCATTAGTCATTAGCACTTCAGTCTTACCAGCTGTAACAATTTAATCAGATTAAGACTCAGATGAGCTTCCTGTCTGTGAGTAAGCCTTTCGATGGGGAGCATGTTGGATTTGGGGAACAGAGTGAAGCAGACGGGACCATGGTAGACTGCCAGAGGACCCCCAGAGGGTCCAGATACCTCGCAGGCAGGAGAGGACGCAGGCTTGGTAATGGAGGGAGGGGGACTGGAGTAGGACTGTGACCTAGAAATTTTGCCTTGGGCCCAGCATGGGGCAGAGTGCTCAGACACCCTTCTCCATTTGCCTCGGCCTCCTGAGCAGGGCGTGGGAGGCAAGGGCCCAAGAGGCGCTAGCTGGGTTCCTGGTGGGACCCTGGTCCTGTCCCAAACCCAGCCTTGCTCGCTCTCCAAGCCCAATTTTTCTGCCTTTACTGGTATCTCTACCTCAGGGCCAGGGCCCTCTCCTTCCACAGTGAACACAAGATAGGCCAGAAAGACGAAAAAAGAACACAGAAATGAATCTCTCCGTGGGGAGAGGCCACACCCAGCTGTCCCCAGTCATGACACTGGGCCCCCTTCCATGCAGACGCGGTTCCCTGAGGACGCCCTCGTCACATAGTCTTGGTGATGCGTCTTCAGTCACCAGGGACCTCCGGCATTTCTGTATTGTTTTATTAGTAGCTGATTAACGTCATGACCTTGGATCCTGATTGTCATGGGCTGGCCCTGTGCATTTTTCCATTTAAGGCATTTTCGGGACAGCCCATTCTCCCGGGCTCTAGAGTTAAACTTTAGACCCCAACCCAGGCCCAGACAGGATGAATCACCCACAATTAAGAGTGCAGGTCCCAGGTTCCTGCTCTCAAGTGCAGCTGGAGGGCCCTGCCCGAGGCTGACAGAGGTGTCAGGCTGCCATAAACAAACCCACCTCTGGAAGTCATCATAACGCTCTGGGCCTGGGAGCTGGTAACCCTCAGCAAAGAGAGCCCAGCTATGCAGACCCAGAGCTGCTCATAAAAACAGTCTGAAGGGATGGCCACCTCGCTGAGGTTAGACAGAACAAGGGCTCTCAACAGCTCGCACTGAGGGACCGGTTGGTTCTGTTGGCAAAATCTTTTCAAACATACACGTGCACTCAGGTAGGAGTTTAGACCTGTGTCCTGCCTCGATAGGATACTTTTCTAGAGAAAGAGAAGAAAGCTCAGGGGCCAGGAAGGGCTTGTCTTAGAACACGGAGGACGGGGCCATGTGCTGAGGGCCTGATTCACGTCTGAACAGAAGCTCCATCGGGGGGAGAGACTTCCCTCTCCACTGACCCAGGCTGTGGCCTTCTGAAGAAATGACTGAGTCCCTGTGTTCTGTTAGCCTGTCAACTCTCTAGTCCCCGCACCCGCACCCGCACCCGCACCCGCAACCACCACCGGGCGACTATCTGGCCTTTGTCTGAACTCCTGCAACACAGACGCTGTGACTCTTCAGGCCGCCCTGCTATTCTGCTATTGAACACATCTGACTGCTAGAAAATTCTTTCCAGCACTACACCCACTCTAACCCTTAGGGCCCATGTAGAATGAGTCTTGTGTGTGCACAGCAGCCCTGAGAATATCTTCACAAGAGGGATCCCACCTGCTGGTTGAATATCTTAATCTGCTTGTGACATAGTTTGGGCTGGGTTGCCCCCCTTGTTCTCCCTCATGTGTGCTCTGGCCTGACTCACCACCATCCTCAGAAGGGCATGAAATGTTCCTAGTGGGCATGTCTCAGAGGACAAGGAACCCCTCAGTGATCCTGGCATGAAACTCCTATTAATGCAGCCCAGAGCCCCACAATGCATGTGATAGCCACGTCGCCCCGCTGACTTACACCCAACAGTCTGACTTCCCTCTCGCATTCTGGACTCCACCCCACTGCTGGCTAACCCCAGCTGTCTCAGTGACTCCTCTGACCGCGCATGGACAGAAGAATTCATAGTTAACAGGCAGAAGCCACAACTGAGCACCTTTCCTTCCCTCACTGGCACTCAGGTTAAGTCACACAGAACAAGGTGGCCGCCATGGTGGTAAACCTACTGGCCTATCGGGAGGGTCCTTCCGCTGTGGTCCAAGCCGCCGGGGCCCCAGATCCTATTGTCCATCATCTCGGTCCCCACATTGCCACTCTCGCCAACAAACAAGCTGTTCTTGATTTCCTGCTTGGAGCCATCATCATATGGGAAGGTGCCGCCACTGTAGGGAGAAGATGCCTGGGGTGAGGTGGCCAGAGACAGCTTCCCAAGGAGGGTCCAGCGCAATGACAGGTGCTCTTACCTGGCCAGGGTCAGGCCGATGCCATTGTCAGCAAACCTGGGGACAGAAGCAGACAGTCAGAGCAGAGTCTCGCTCAGCGTTGTGTGGGGAAGGACCCTTCTGTGCCCTGAAGCCACACTGTGGCTACTGTGTGGGGAGGAATCTCTACCTGAGCACAGATTTGCTGAGGGCTCTGGGATATTTCAGGTCCCCTCCCACCCTGCCTGTGTCCAGTGGTTGCCAGCGTGGTCTTTCTGCAATGGACACAATGGCCAAATGCTCAAAGCCCTTGAAGGTACCCCATCTTCTGTCAGCCCTGACTGTGCCAACCCTGCCCCCTCATGGGACTCCAACCTCAGTGCCACCAGACTCTGGGCCACCCTAAAGGAGTCTGCAGGGAGCCAGAAGGTCCACCCCTTCCAGCAGGGGGTTCACAGTTTGTCTCTGTGGGGACCTGAACCGCCAGCACACCAGAGCCCAGATAGTCCAGGACCTGGAATACTGCAGAGAATTTTAGCATGGACACCCTATTTTCTCTCACTTGCCTCCTGCACAGTCATCTTTCAAGTGTCTGTGGGCCTGTTCTAGGGATGCGCAGCTCATCTCACTAACATCTGGAAAGCTTTTCCTTCTACTGTGCCTGTAACTTCCCTCCAGAGCCCATAGGGACACGCCTGTCTCTTCTCCCACCAAATGCCCCTCAGAGCCCAGAGCTGGCCCTCTTCTCAAAACTCACAACTTCTCTGACCCACTCTTGGTCTGCCAGCTTCCCCTTTGGCACTCCCATTTGTGTCCGACTGTCCCTGAGTCTGTCTGTCTGTCTCTCCCAGGCTCTGTTTTTCTGAGTAGCCTCTCTCTCTCTTTCTCTGAATTCTGTGTCTCAGTTTCCCTCCTTACACACTTTCACTTCCTCTTGCCCCCTTTCCCCCTTATTTCTCCTCTGAGTGGTCACAATACAACGGAGAAACACGTTTCTTTCCCAGTAGACTTTTTCACGATACTGCTTTAAAACAAATCCCAACTCAGCCGCCTGTCCCTTTGGCTCTTGTCCTGCATGGACTGGTGGCCCTCCACAGAGACCTTACCTCACAGTTCACTTCTCATTAGGCCTTGGAGTCCAACGAGCTGAAATTTCAACCCCCAGGCAAAGCACTTACTAGTTAAGAGAAATTCACTAAACAGCCCCAGGTGACCATCTCCAAAATAAAGATGACAATTTCTACCTTTGAGAGTCACGGTAAGAAACAAAGGCAACCAAGGATGCAGCACACCTTAGGTGCCTAACCCATGCCAGCTTTCTTCTTCCCCACTTTCACGGGCTGGCTATGTAGCCCGAGGGTGCCATGCCCAGTGACGATCTGGAGGCAAACCCTGACCCCCAGCACCTGGCACTATGGGCTGCAGCTGTGTGTAGGGGTTTTGGGGTCACTGCCTGCTGCCATTCTATGGGGCTGGGTGTCAGCAAGCCACATGTCAGCTCACTGTGCTTCCTCTCTGCCGTGTTCTGCTCTCCCGTGCCAGGGCAGGAGCACCATCCCCACTTTGTGCCAATGCCACGTGGCTCTGACTCACCGGCAGCTGTCCAGCCACACATCCCCGCCGCGCAGCCAGGCCCCGTGGTCCTGGTTCTTGTAGGCAGTGAAGTGCTTGATGATGGCTGGCTCCCGGGGCTTCAGAGGGTCGGCATCCTGGTGAGGGCTGTACCTGCAGCACAGCATGGGGGGAGGGGGCAGACACAGGGATTGGTGTGGGGACTCCTGAATGGATGCCCTTCTGGGCTGTGAGCATCTCTCTGCTCATGGTGCCCATGAGATTCTGATGAAATAGCCGCTCATTCCCATCATCTGGGCTCAGGACTGAACTTTCTGAGCTCAACACAGAAGCAGCAGGGCCCAGCCCCATGCAGGTGACAGACTTGTCCCTTCTCTCATTCATCAGCCTCACTGAGGAGCACCCCCACCCTAGGATGGTCAAAGGTCAGAGGGAAGTTCAGACAGTACGAAACCCAGCATGCCATGCAGCCCACAGGGCGAAGGAGATGCCAGCTCTCCACCAACTGGGGGGTAACCTTGACCTGGAGCCTTTTCTGGGGCCTGGATGCTCACTGCTGTGTGCCACAGCAAATGTCTTCTGAGGACATTATCCTGTCACTGGTGTTACATTTGATGGAGCCCAAGCAACTTGGTCTCCTTAAAGGGAACAGGCTTTCTTAGTTACCTGGAGGCTTAGGAGTAGCCCCTGGCCTTGGCTGAGCTCCAGATTTATTTACAGTCACAACTTGCCTGTTCCTTCTCTCTACACCGATGGTGAAATTCTTCCCATCTTTTCTTTCCATGTTTTGATCCCAGCCCAATCTGCTATGGCCCTGGACAATCCTGTTGACTTACCAGGTATTGGCTTTTGTTGAAACCTAATTCAGCCCTAATGCTGAAATCCTAAATGCTAAAATCCACACTTTGCCCTGTCTGGATTTTTACCACGATTCCCCCAGCAACTAGTTCAATGTACAGGACAGAGAAAGTGCTGAAAAGATAGCCGATGAATGAATGAATGAATGAATGAATGAATGAGGTTTACTCAAGGGGTCCCCAGGGTTGATTACCTGGCAGAGATGATAGAGAGGAAGGGCCGCTTGTCCTTGGCAGAGGCCTCAGTGGTTTTGACGCCATTGTCTATGATCATGCCAGCCTGTGGGCAGGAGAGGGGGAGGCATTCAGGGACATGTTGGCTTGCACTGCAGGCTAGGCATCTTCTCACACCCAGCCTCACTGCATCGTTTTGAATGCTCCCATAAAACTAGCTCTGCTCTCAGGATGCATTAGTGGAAATAGGGGGTCTTCAGTGAGGGAGGCGAACCTGCATTGCTCAGGTCAGACCAGAAATATGGTGTCCTCTTGGAGGTTCAGACGAGAAAGTTGAGGACTATAGGGGTTAAGGATCTTGTCCAAGGCCTCTCAGTTCAGCCCACACCCAGCACTCACACCACCTCAGGACCCAAGTCAAGAATGATGGCTACGCTTTCCCGGGAAATGTGTCACTGAACTTGAGTCTCATCTTTACCTTGGAGGTCTGTGGCCCTCCCAGGGTCTTGTCTTGGATCCTGCCTGGCTCAAGGAAGAGAACCTCACTTTCTTATTTGGCTCCAAAGGTGTCCGTTTGTCAGCCACGGGGAGTGGGAAGCAGAGCAGCTGAGTGGTGCTGCCCAGTGAGGCCGTGTCCCATCCTTCCTGGGCTCCCTTGACCTCTTAGGAATGCCCAAACTCAGGGTTCTCTTATCTAGATCACTGGAGGTCACTCTGGCTACTGAATTTGCCAACTGACTTCTAACGAAGCTCCAGTGATGTGAGCATATGTTGGCTGGACTCCTGCTTCCTCCCTCAGGAGCTATGACTTTAGTCCCCACACCTCTCAGACCTCAGCTGTAGTCTTTGTGAGACAGGCTGACATCACTCATTTCACAGAGAGCTGTGAGGCATTAATATGGTAGCCCAGGTGAGGAGCCCTGCACAGGATCCCCCACAGTGCGTGTGGAGTTGGGCTCATCAGGCATGAATGCCAAGCATGGGGCCTCCACTGCTCAGAATTCCCGTCCATCCAGCTCAAGACTTCTCTTCCCTCCTGGGCCACCTGCCACCTTCCTCAAGGCCATCCCTCCACCTGTGTTGGTGACCTGGTCTACTTCCTGTGGGAAACCACCCTTCCCACATATCCTCACCTGGTCCAATCTCTAAACATCTAGATCCAACATGGCTCAACACCCCCTCATGGGAGGTCCTCAGGGGTCTCACAAGCAGACAATACATTCTCTCCCTCCCCAACCCGTATGTCCCATTCTGTATGGAGACAGCTCCCAGGGGCCAATGACAGCCTCGGAAATGCCCCCTCCGAGGCCTGCGCTATTCTCTCTGTCAGGTGGCACTATGGCCCTCCTAACCTCTGTCTTCTGCCCCGTGAGTGCTCTTCTTTCTTCGTTTCTGGGATATGACCCCACCCACATCCTCTCTCTGCCCATCCTGCCAAGCCCTCCTCACAGGCCACCCCCTAGGTGTAAGCACAGGTCATTCTGAGAATATATCTCTCTTTTTTGGTCTACTCCCTTAGTTGACCCTTGTTTTGTTTTTGACCCTGAATGTGTCCATTCTCTTCAGTTTCCTTATCTGCACATTAGGGACTGGACCAGAGGACAAGCCCAACACCTAGGGCTCATGTATGCACTACCCCTGGGTCCCCAATCCCACGCCTGCATCCACGACTCTGGCCTCAGTGCTGCCCTGACCAGGGGGTCCAGGAAGACTTACCCGGTAGTTAGAATGTGCTCGGTTGTTATGGAACTTTCCCAGGGGGATGTGCTCTGAGTAACCAGGGGAGTACATCCCCACTGAGGGGCCTGTTGGCACGTGGTGGAAAATGAACCAGAATCCAGTTTCCTATTGTGGGTAGGGGGACAGGGGAAGACATAGGACTCAGCACCAGCCAGCTTCTTGTCAGGGAGACTGAATGGCGCCAAATTCCCTGCAATGGGCCCTACCTCCAACCCCCAAATATGTCTCTAGAAAATGGTGAAAAGTTTGAGGTGAATGCACTTTGTGGGGTCCACCCTGTTAAAACCCTTCATCGAGTCGGACTCTGTTGGCCATAGGATCCACAGAGCTGGATTTCAGCATCATCTCCTCCTGGCACATAACGGGAGGATTTCAAGAGGGTTCTCAGCTTCTCTCTTTCATTCTACAGATATGGAAGCTGGTGCTCAGGGACAGCACCTGCTCTGCTCAGGGCCCCTGGGGGGGTGAGCAGCAGAGGGGGATGGGTGAGAGCGAGGCCGTGTTTGTATCATGTGTGTGCCTCTGGGCACATGAGCGCCCCTGCCTCCATTTCCTCACCCATCCGGTGGTAGTACCTACCTCATTGGTTCAATGCGAGAATTATTTTAGCTTATTAGAACGCTGATGTGCCAGGCACTGTTCTAGGCGACAGTAAATTCAACCTCATAAAGAGTTATTGCGCATAAAGTGCTCTGTTCTCATTAGCTATGATCAACAGTGCGACAAAGGCACAGCCATTACTAAAAACCAGTCCATCTCCCTCCGACCTGGGGTACAGAGCACACATATTTCAGGGTGGGCCCTGGCCATTCCGAGCCCCCAGCTCCTACCCCTAATTTCATGCAGAGAAGAGACAGTCCTACTCACCTCAGACCCTGCAGCAGCGCAGTTTATCAGGTTGTTGTTGGGATTGGCCATCCAGAAGGTGGACACACCACTGCAGGAGGGGGAGATGGAAAGGCGTCAGACATCAGCTCCCAGCTCCCCCGCACTGCTGCATGGGGCCATGTCAGGCTCTCTAATATTCTTCCAAGAGCCTCAGAGATTGGGAAATCCTGGATTTGTTTATCTGAAACCCACTTTTCTCGTTGGAGCAGGGTGCAGTGGAGCACTTAAAGTGTTCAGAATTTGACACGGGCGTGGCTCTTTGAGGTGGACGCCGCCTGTGTGTGGGAGAAGCCTGAGATGGCTCTGAAATAAATCTAAGTCAGGAAGGTGGCCATTTCTAAGGGAGAGGCCCTGGCTCAGAAAGCTGGCTGCACAGAAAGCTCTGTCTCTAAACCATCAGTGGGGCTACTGCGAATGTGTTCGCATGGGAGCGAAGGGGCAGCCACATTAGGAAAAACCCAAGGGTGAGAACCATGGTTCTTTGGACAAGATCGAGGCACATGGGGCACCTGAGAAGGGAGATATGCTTCCTCTCTGAGCAGCAGGTAGTTCAGGGTTGGGGGTCCCCGGGCTGGAAGACAGGTGTCCTGGCGCAGGCATGGAGGGGCGCTTACTTGCAGTCCTGCCTGGGCTTGGGGATGTACCCCGGGTACGAGTCCTCTGTAATCGTCTTGCACATCCTGCTGTCACGGTCAGAGGGCAGGAGGGTTCCTGACTTGACAAGGAGGCCAAGACAGTGGTCAAAGGTGTTGCGTTCCTCTGGCCCATCCTCCGTGAAGAAGCAGTGGCCCAAAGAGTTATAGCCCACCACGTCCTTGACCTGCAGGGGTCGAGAGAGGGGACATTTCACCTGCCATCCAATTGTTCATGGACTCATCCATTCATTCAACACACATCAAACAGTATCAGCTGCACACCTGGCTCTGTGAGGTTTGGAGATGGACTGCACACAGGTGTTGGGCCTGGGGAGGGCCGGGAAGGGGGATAAACAGGTGACTTTAAAGTCCCTCTAGCTGCAGGTGTTATGGCTGAGGCTCCATAGGGTAGGAAAAGTGACCAAGTGTTAGAAGTAGGTTCAGCAGGAGACGGTGGACTAGGTCATGTGAGCCTACTCTGGTGGGCACACAGCAAGAACAGTTTGCAGGACTTAGTGCGGAGGGCTGCCCACAGGAGCTCCCACTGGAAGGCGGTGGGGAGAGCCTCGCCTGGGCGGCAGCGTCTGAGCTGAGTCAGGCGGGCCTTTTAGGGAGGCTGGTGTTGATCTTCCTCACTGCGCCCTCACCCACCAAGCCCAACCCGCTTCACAGCCCACAGTACACATCCAGCCACACTTGCAACCCGTTTCCTCTACTACATCCCTAACATTCTAAATTTATCGTAATCACTGTCTTTCTTCTTCTACAAGAAACCATTCTCCTTTGCTTCTTCCTTGAGCCAGAAACAAATCCCATGTGTTCCAGCCACTGCTCTAGACATAGTCCTCACACCGCATGCTGGGGAGACTGGCCCTGGGTCCCACCAACACTTCCACTTGAGCCTGTGGGCAACTTGCCCGAGGTTCCACAGCTCATAACATGTGGACCAAGCCTGGAAGCCAGGCCTTTCTCGACTGGGCCCCAAGGCACACACTCTCTCCTCTGTACTCAGTGGGGTTTGTGGTCACGGCACCGTAAACACAGAGCAGTGGGCACTCCTTATCGATAGAAGAGCACATGGAACAGTGGTTTCACCCATGACATGCTGACAAGCCTGTTCACCTCCCACTCACGACACATCTGGTGGGAGGTTCATTCTGTTTGGTTTGAAGCAAGAGTCACAAATGCAAATGCACCTGGTGGCACTGACCTGGGCATCTCCTGAAAAGCACTACGAAGTGGCGGGCCACTGGAGAACACAGGCCGGCCTAGCGGGGCAGCTGCAACTCTGCACTGGGCAGGTATGTGGGTCTGGTGCTGCCAGCTGAGCCCAGAGAAGCCAGGAACCCAGACTTTTACGTGAAATATCTCCATTTTTAAATGATGGAAATGACTTTGAATGTTTCTTTAAACACCATTCAAGCCAAACAAAACACATCTGGTGCTGGGTTCGGCGCACAGGTGCCATTCTGTGACATCCGGTTGTAAAGTTCACAGAAGGTGTAAGTTTAGTCCATGAAAAGGAAGTTCAGTGTAGTGTACAATTATCAGCTTAGTGTAAAAATGATCAGATGTTTCTCTAAACATCGTATGAGCCAAACCAAACATAAGCTGGAGGTGCCACTTTCTAAGGTTCAGTTTGAAACGTTTATAGAAAATATAAGTTGGGTTCATTTAAAGAAGAATCGACTTAGTGTAAGAATCATCTGTGCAAATTAAGACAAGCCTCTGACACACACCCGCCTAATGGCTAATGAACACATTTCTTTCAGCAGTGTTTGCTCTGATGGACACTTGGTTTACCAGGAGAAAAGGGGCCATTGCTGACGTGAACTCAGTGGCTGGGCCAATACCACAGCATAGTTTTGACGTGGTCCCCCTTGTCTCAGCTAACAGACTGTCAGGCCACATGGCCACAGAAGGATCTGCTCCACCATGTGTGTACTCCCCATGGCCACCACAAACCTGCATTTTGGTGCCCCTTGGCAAGGAGACACCCCCATTTTCTCCTTCCTCTGATTTGTAGCCTGCTGTCAACTGAGTTCACTCTAAAATCCAAGGTGAGTCCCTAGCCGGTTTGGCCCAGTGGTTGAAGCATCGGCCCGAGGACAGAAGGGTCACAGGTTTGATTCCCAGTCAAGGGCACATACCATGGCTGCAGGTTTGATCGCTGGCCCTGATCTGGGTGTATGCAGGAGGCAACCAATCGATGTGTCTCTCTTACATCGATGCTTCTCTCTCTGTCTCTCTCTCCCCTTCCCTTCCACTCTCTCTAAAAAAAGTCAATGGAAAAAAATATCCTCAGGCAAGGATTAACAACAACAAAAATCCAAGGTGAGGATGGTTCAACCCCCGACAGTCCTGGACTAAGTGACTTGATGCAAACACCCTTCCAGTGCTAACAGCTCCTGGGCCGAGGGGTGAGCCAGCTGGCATAGTGGGAGGGGGGGAAAGCCCTCTAGGTCCTTTCTTCCCCGGGAAGGAGGCACTTACCAACAAGCCATTGGAGCCGTGGACGGTGACACAGCGAGAGAAGGTGTGGTGGATGGACAGGTCCCGGACATATGTGGGCGGGTCATAGCCACCCTGCTCATCCACATCACCCACCAGGTGGAAATGAATCGGGTACTGACCCACCAGCTGCTGTCCCATGTGCTTCAGCTCCACGCCCTCCAGATGTGCTGCCTTGAACCCCAGTGCAAACTGGGAAAGGAGAGATGAGAGTCAGAAGGAGTCTGTGAGGCATTCCCCGACCCGCTCGCTGGTGCCCATGTTCTGAAAACGGAGAGGCGTTATCCTCGAAGTGCTTTGTTATCCCCCGCCTCCAGTAAACCAAAGCTGTTCTCTGCAAATGGGTTAAGATGCCTGGCCCTTCTTACCCCAAGGGAGACGAGGTGCCACTTATAACATGGGGATGTGGCAAAGCAGTGAACTTGGAATGGGGGGCTTGGGAGAGACTGGGGCTCACTTCCACCCTCTTCTCCTGCCTCCGAAGCCTCTGAGTGTTATGAGGAAGTGAGCTATGAAGAAGTATTTTTGGTGATGACAAAACATTGAATGAGCAGGGGCCAGGGATGCTGGAAATCCTATAACACAGGCCTGCATGACAAAAAACCGTGTCACCCGAAGTGCGAGGAGGGTCCCCATTGCGAACTCTGTGTCACTCCATTGTTCCTCTCAGTTATTTTACCAAGAAGTCTTATCCTTAAAGCACACAATTGTAGCTCCAAGAGAACTGTCCTCACAAAACTCCAAGAGACTATTATTTTAGCTTTAATGCCAAATCACCGAGAGCAATGGTTGTGTGAAGAGCTTTTGGGCTTCTGATGCTAGTCAATGTGCAGGTAAAGGCGCTTTATGAAGAGATGCAAAGGAAATTCCTCTTGGAACCTGAGGCCAGGACAACAGGAGCTCCGGTGAGCAGATGCCATCCTCCTCACTGCACCCGAGGCCTCTGTGGCTGCTTATCTGTCACTGCCCCACTTTCCCCGGGAGCTCACAGGTTACTGTAATGCTGGTACTTCTGTTCCCCTTAACGTCACTCATCTGCATTTAATGGATCTATTGTACAGGTGACTTTTTGTGAGTTACATGCTCATGTTTCTTTCAGGAAGGGATCAGGGTTAAATAATGAAGAAAGGGAATGAGAGCCACAATTGGGGCTGAACACCAGGAAGGTAGGGCGCGTGATGTGACGTGGTGTGACCGGGTATAGGGAGCTGCCCCCTCTGGCACAAGTCTCTCCTGTTTCCAAGTACCGATGGGTGGGACAGCACGCCAGTGGATAATACGTAAGACTTCTCCAACTTCCAGAAGGTTCTCTCGCCTTGGTCCCCTCGCCTGCCCCTCCATCCCCTTTCCCTACCAAGAATACCCCCCACAGGCTGACACCATGGGACTTCTCCTGGCGGGGCTTATGGCCTCGGCCAGGCAGACCCCTACCTTGATGTGGCCCCCAAAAGTATCGAAGTCAAAGAAGGTGCAGACGTGGTTGGTGTAACTGTAGCACGTGTCCTCCATCTCCCCCCTGATGACGATGTTGCGACTCAGGAGCCCAACCTCAGCCCTCATGTCCACGCCATCGATCTCCTCCCCGATGTGCAGGTACATCGGTTTCCCTAGGGCAGAAAGGGGGGAACGGGTAAATCGGAGGGACTGCGTATGTCCTCTGTGCTCCAGGCCCCTGCCAGCTGCCTCCTCAGCTCCTGCACAAGTCTCCCCATGACCTGCCTGCATGGTGGTCCCAGGGCCTGATCCCATTGCGCAGAAGAAGGAGGCTCAGGGAGGTGAAGTCACCTGTCTCAATGAAGAGACAGGATTCACAGCCATGCATGCTTAGAGCTGAAGCCTGGGGCAGAAACACTATTTGTCTCTCAATATCTGTCCCCTCTTCTGCTTGATGACACTAAAATCTCCAGTGTTTTAGGTAGACACATGGCTCCCCAGGAAAGCCACACGTCCCAGGCTCCCTGTAGCCGGTGTGGTCACAGGATGAGCAGAAGTGATATGTGCACCCTCAGGTGGCCCCTGCTCTCGTCCTGTCCCTAGGGCTGGAATGAAGACGTGTGTGGGGGGTGATCCGGCCTTGCCCAGTTGGGTGAGGACCATGCCCCAGGGATGGCAGAGCAACAAGAGAGAGGAAACCTGAGCTCTGATGACCCCATAGAGCTTACGCCTGGGACTGCCAAACATCTGGAATTCTTACGGACACAACGTAAACCCCCCTCTCTGTAAAGCCACTGCAATAAAGCAGCACAAACCTGAATTCTGTGAAAGTGAGCAAATCTGTGCTCAACTGGCTTCAACCTCATGTATCTACCACCACATTTTCTAGAAGCTTGTGTGTCCAACACTGGGTGCCTCCAAGGTACCGTTTGAAACAGCGCAGAAGAGGTTTCACCCCGTCTAGAGTTGACCTTATGCCTTCCCTTCCTCCTTCTGTGAAGGAGACGATGCTCTGTCCCTTGTACCACTGACCCTCAGCCCACCCCAGCATGACAAGAGTTTGGAACTTTGGAGCTGCATTTGATTGTAAGCCCCAAATTCTGCCTTCACAACAACCCCTAGTCCTTTCTGGAGTACGGAGATCTTAGTCTGGTTCTAAATCGGCTCCTCGCTGGGACTGCTGACCTGGCAGGCAGGCACTTTCCCTTCCAGTTGAGGATCATGTGGATTCACAGCCTGAACCACACCACAGACGCCACCTGAATTTCACTGGGACCTTGATGTGAGCATCAGAGCACGCACCTCATTCAGCCCCGGGACGCGGCACCACATGCAAAGGCTGTGGTTCCCAGGAGCCCTGAGCAGCGCCCACCAGCAGTGACCCCGCCCGGCTCTCTCAGCCAAGGAGGAGCTGGCCTGGCCCCCTTCCCTCCTGCCCCTGGTGCACGCCCTGTGCTGGGCTTGCAGGATTTCTCAGGATGTTGATTGTTCTGGAATTCTGCAGACTCAGAGAGGTGGTGGTTTCTTTGAAGCACCTTAGTTCAAAGCAGTGAACCGGGCTCATCGCAAAGCCAAGAAAATATCCCCTTTGGAATCAGTATCAGTTTCCTGGGGCTGTTGTAACAAATTACCACAAACCGTGGCTTCAAACAGCAGTAATTTCTTTTCTTATAGGCTTAGAGGTCCAAGATGAGTCTCACTGGGTCAGCAGTCATGGTGTTGGCAGGGCTGGGCCCTGTGAAATCTGTCCCTCTTCAGGTTCTATGGCACCTGCGCTCCTTGGCTGGTGGCCCCTCCTCTACCTTCTACATGCATCTCTCCAATCTGCTCTGTCACCACCTCATGTTCTCCTCTGACCTTGACCCTCCCGTGTCCCTCTTATGCGGACCTCTGTGATCCCATCGGGCCCAGCAGATAATCCAGGATCATCTCCCACTTCACAGCCCTAACTTCATCACACCTACTAAGTCCCTTTTGCCAAGTAAAGTAACATTCGCGGGTCCTGAGGATTAGGACATGGACATCTTTGGGGCCATCGTTCAGCCCCCTCTGGAGCTCCCACTACCAGTTTCAGGCCTGTAATGACCTCAGGTGAGACAGCTTTCTGTGTTCCCTGGAGGAGACCAGCCAGGGTGTAAGAGTGATTTCCAGATAGATGGGAACGGTGCTCGTTAGACTCCCTTAGACTCCCGTGAGCAGGCAAGGCAGACAGAGCTGTAGGCGTATTTCTATCACAGTCTCCTCCCCCGACAGAGGAGCGCCTAGCAGGACCCGCACAAACCCTTATGGCGGTTTATCTGTCCTGCTGCTGCGTTCACAGGCCACTCCCAGGCTGCTATCCCCGGGAAGCTGTGCGCCCCGGTTTCCCGGCCTCCACCCCTCCCTCCCACCTTGCAGCTCTGATACTGAAAGTTAGGAAGGGACAGCAGACATGGCCATATTTGTCCCAAACAATCCAGAAGGCCATGAGCACAGGCCAGGGATGGGGGTTGCTGGGAAGCAGAGGGGCTTCAAACCCTGACCTCCCTCCCTGGCGTCCCCCTGCAGCTGCCCTGGCTCCTCCTCCCCAAGCCCTCTCCATGGGGACAGGGCAGGCACGGAACTAGTCACTCTGGGGTCAAGAGAAGAATAAACATCTAGGACTCTCTGGTGGGAGAAACAGACGCGTGTCCTGTGGCTCAGACCTAACAGGGCCAGAGAGTCTGCAGGACAGGGGGAGGGGACTGCCCTCCTCAGACCACCAAGGACGAGCCCCTGGGGGACTAGGCTGGCAGGTCTTAGGGAAGCAAATTTAAACCACAGAACTCCCTGTTTCCTCCCACAGTCCAGCCAACTTTGTGTGGAGACGCTGGAACCGGGGCCTTCACAGAGGAAGGGCAATGTAGATTACGTAGCCTGGGTGCCAGAAAGCTCTGGGTTTGAATCCCTCGTGTAAGTCCATCAGGGAGACTTGCTTGGCCTACGCCAGCACCCCCACTACAGCTCTGAGATGGCCGTCATGCTCCGTTCTGCGCTGTCATAGGGTGTCCACTAGTCAGGTGTGGCCACTGAACACTTGAAATCTGGCTAGTGTGACCAAGGGGTGGAATTTCTAATTTTATTTAGTTGGAATTATATTCCATGAGTCTCAGTTTCCTCATCTGTGCCTTGGGGAAAACAATAGCCCCTCCTTGTTAGCTTATCACGAAGAGGGAGCAATATGGACTGTGCAAGTGCTCGGCATATCACAGGAAACCACAAAACTGTCAACATTAGTTAACAGGAGCATTATTTAAACGTGGGAGGAGGGCAGCTACAAGCAAAGTGGGAAGACAGGGATGCGAAAAGGCAGAAAATTGTAGAGCCTCCTAATTGCCATGTCGGGAGGTGTTGGGAATTATACTGTGGTTGGCAAAACTCTGAAATATTTTTTTTAGATGATTCACACATTTTCATTACTTTGTTACTCTCATCTGTTTCTCATCAGGAAACCCTTAAAATGCCTGTTTACTGGAATGGGGCGGTGAAGAAAGATCCAGGAAGGCTGTCTCCCTCGGCAGCCAGCCTGGGAAGGTGAACCCTGAGAGATAAAAAGGGGCAGTCTCGCAAAAGAAGGAAGCAGGTAGAGTCCTTGCTCTCTCTCAGGGGGAGATGGAGAGCCAGAGAAAGGGTTTGGGGCTGAATAGAAGAAATGTGAGCCCCCTTGGACAGAAAAACACACTCTCACACACACTTCACACATACTCCTACTTGGGGCTTTTCTGGCACTTTCCACCAGGAGGCGCTGATGAGCAGAGTCAAGGGGACCATTCGCTCTGAGTCTAGTAACTTAGGGAGTGGGGATCAGCTAGGTGTGGGGCTGGTGCTGATACAGGCACAGGGATATAGACACAGGCCTTGCTAAACCAAGGGAGGCTGGCGGGTCCTGAGAGTTCCACCATCTTCTCCACTCATCCTTTCCTCCCTGTACTCAGGCCCAGAACAGCCCAGCTTGCTCTCCAACCACCCCTAGAGCTCACGAAGCAGATGGATCTGCTGTCAGGCATTGCCAAGAGGAGCAGCTCCCCCAAACAACACTGTTGGGGAAGCAGGCCTGCCCTGACATCCCATGGGCTCCTCGTGCTCAGGTGCACCCTTGGTACCCGCAGCTGTCCCAACAGGACTGCTCAAAGTGAAATCTCCCCTCGAGGCCTCTGGGTGCCCAGCACTGGGTACACGTGAGGGCTGGTGTGACAAGACCCAGAGCACCTCTCCCAGGGGCTCCTCCCACCTCCACATAGGCAGGGGCCTCAGGGCAGGCTTGTCACCCTCCCAAAAGTCACAGATGCTGCCCAGACCATGGGTTGCCTTACGATGAGCAGTGACATCAGCTCAAATGGTCTGACTGCTGCTCCTGCCAAGAGTCCAGGAGGACACCTGGTGTCCCAGAAGACCTGTCCACATGGGGACACAGAAGTCACCCAGTGAAGACCCCAGGTCTAACCCTCTTTAGGAACTCACTCCTCTAGGGGCTGTCCCGTGAATAGGGACATTGGGAGTCTTTCCTCGCTGGGAAAATCCGATACACCATTGCCCTCAGAATACAGCCCCACGCTGTCGCCATGGGGCCTCCCTTCCCTCTAGCCCCACACAGCTCTCCTGTTCCCACAGCTGGTCCTCCATAGCTGGAACCCCGCGTGACCTTCCCTGCGTAGCTCTCTGGCTCTGCTGACCCTCTGAGAGCTTCCTCTTTCCTTGTCACCTGCTCCTCTCTCTCCAGCTCTATGCTCCGTCGTTAATTCCTCTGGGAAGGCTGCCATGCCTGTTCTGACCTTGCCAAGTCCCCCTTTCATGCTCCCACCACCCCTATAGCCCCATTCCTCTCCCACAGCGGTTCCCACGTTTGGGATTTTATTTTTATTGGGATGGTTCTTTGCTGGATCTTTCTTTTCACTGTTGGACTGCAGGCTCCTGCAGGGACAGAGTCATGGGTACCTAGCTCACCGTGTCACCCCCAAGTCTGAAGCACTGCCTGGCATGTACGTGCCAGACTGTTATGTTGTCAAGGAACAAATGTTTGGACATCTCAGCCTCCACCCATGAGCTACTGCCTCCTTCCCTCTCTCTCCAGTCACATCCACCAAATCGCCATCTCCCAGAAACACGGAGAGCCTTTCTCTATAGTTCAGAGTTCTCGGCCGGGGCCCTGGGGTCACAGGCAATGTCTGTGGACCACCTCAGCCACCTGACCTCCAGGGTCCACCCCACGTGAATAAAATACGGGCACTGACCTCCAACACAATTTCTCACCTTTTTTTTTTTTTACCTCTGCTCCCCTAAATTCTTTCTCAGCACATCCCCACCAGCCAAAAAGATTGTGTTGAATTTTACTTTCTGTGGTTTTATTTCCAAAATAGTAGATATTTTGAATAGAATGGATATGCTTTCTCACTCCATAGTCCTCCCCTACCCCCAATTCTAATACTTCTCCAGTGGAGCTGATATTTTTAATGCCCAGTATCATCTCTTTCTTCTGGTGATACGCCCCAGTTTTCCTCTGGGATGTGACCCTTTCTCCATATGAAGCAATCTTAGAGGGTCTGTCAATGAAGGGACCCTGTCCCCTTCTGGCTGGAGAGTAAACACAAAAGCCACCATCCCCACCAGGGCTCCTCTCTGAAGGCGACCTCTGAGCTTTGTGCCAGGGACTAAGCATGGTGCCTGCAGACAGTGACACCCTAAGGAAGCTACCCATTGGGTCCTGACACCCAGATCCCTGAAGCTGTCCTGTTCCTTGCCCTTTCACAGCCTGGCTGCTCAGTGTCTATGAATTCCATTTGGTTTACAATAGTCAAGTTGGACTCTGTTGCTCACAACCAAACAACCCTAATGGATACATAACTCTGTCCATTAAGAATAATTAACTCGATGATATTTGAAGTTTCTTTTTAACGCTAACAATCTGTGATTCCAGTAACCTCACCTACCATAAATGACAGAGCATTTAAGTCAAGATTTAGGAGAAGAAGAAGAAAAAAAGAAAACTCAAAAGCTATAGAAAAAAGAGATTTTAAAATCTGTGGTAAACTGCATTATTGTGAACAAATATTTACTCCCCTGATGGGAGAAATAGGCTTCCCCACCCCATGTGTGGTGACCATATGATACGCTTTGGCCAAAGGAATGTGGGCAGAGACTACTAGTTCTGAGCCCAGGCCTTCAGTGTCCTTCTGTGTTTCTGCACGTCCCTCTGGGAGCTTTCAACCTCCCCCAAAAGAAGAATATGTCCTGGAGAGAAGGAGAGTCACGTGGAGCCAACCTGAACACATCTCTCAGCCTGCAGAAGCTGAGCCCAGACAACCTGCAGATGCATGAGTAAGAAATAAATGCTTACCATGAGACTTTAAGGGTGATTTTTGTTGTTGTTATGCAGCATTATTATGGCAATAGCTGACTAATACAGGTTGCCTGTTATTTCAGCCAACTTTAAGCCTAACAATTTCTAGATTCCAACAGCTTAGAATGGGGTTAGTGAAAGTCCTACCTGCTACTTTGACCTGGTTGGGGGCACAGGCTCTGCAGGGAAGCACCTGGAACTCCTCCGCCTGGTACATGGAGTAGTCAGTACTGGCAACGACCAAGGTATCTCCAGGCTTCCATGACTGTACATTGTCTTCCAGAGTCAGAAGGGTGCTGTTGACATTGGTGTCGATGGTGACGGTGAGTTTGGGCCTCACTGTAACCCAAAGCGGGAGGGACTGAGATACAGGCCTTTGCCCTTGGCAAACTTCTGACTGCCCAACTCCTCCCTTCCCCTCCCTAAATAAGTAAATGCCAGGTTTGCCTATCCAAAACCCAAATCACCAGGCTCACTCCTCTTGTCTTGGTACAGGTTTTTGAAGTCAACAAAAACCCTACTAGAAAAGAGCCATTCATTAGCTCTGGGCAGAGGAACTTTCCACTAAGTCCTCAGCTGGAGTTCAGTGTGGCTGCCTCACCACACCCACTTCACTTAAGATGTAAAACAAATATAGTTCCTCTCAACTATTATTTACAGTAGCCGTAAGCCTTTCCCCCAAAGACCTCCCGTCCCTAATGACTGCCTTCTGGAGATGGCCAAGTGCCTCCATGAACAAACTGACCATTTCCAACCCCTTGTAACGAGCATCTCGGGAATTGGGTTTAAAATAACAGCACCCAAAGAGGCAAGGAGCCCATGTCTGTGCAGGGGGGGATGCAGGAAGGTGGGCTCTGTCCACCGCACCCTGGTTTTCTTGGACCAGGCCCTTCCCCTTCCTGACAGACAAATGGGCAGGGCGGGGTCTGCTGGCTCCTGCCAACTCCGAGTACCCTCCCACTTCTCCTGTGTCACTGCGAACTTGGCCGGAGCTCTGTGTCCCTGAGATGCTTGGAGGCAGCGGACGCAGCCATCCAAACTCACAATGCACAGCCACCGCTGCATCTCTGTCCCGACAAGAAGCTGCTTACCAGGCCTCCCACACAGGAACCGCACGCGGTACCACAGGCAGGCGTGGCCCTGGTCGTAGCACACGAACCTATAATCCTGGCCTCTTTTGTAGACAACCTCCATGGTAAGGTTGGCTCCATCCACTGTAGTGGCCTGGGAATGGCATGTAAATTATAGAGCAAAGTCATTTTTTTTTTGGTGAAGAAGAAAGGTGATGATTAATGCTATAAACATATACTCACATGTCTAAAATTGTTCCTGAAGAAAAAAGTATGTACAATGGCCAAGACTATTACTCCAATGATTGCCACAGTTTGGTTGTGAAGTTGCAGGGTGGATATATGCCCTGTCTGGGGTCCTACGGGATTGGTAGACAGACCAGTGGTTTACTGTGCATCGCTGGGTGAACGTTTTAAGGATAATCTGCTATAAGCAGGTGCTCTCTTAGGAGCTGGACTGGCCACTTATGGCTGTACCACCACCAGCAGCACCAGGAACAGTGGCCGACAGGAAGAATCACCATGTTCAATCCACTGCTGATTCCACATCATGTGGGGACTCTTTAAACCTACGCCCAAGCCCCTTCCTGGAGTCTCAGATCTGACTGTGCGTGGGTGTGGCCATGGCATCAGACCTTTGGAAAGCTGCCCTGGTGATTCCAATGGGCATGAAGTTTGAGAACCCCACCTTGTAGCAACGGAGTTAAGTGTTCACATATATTATCTCATTCCATTTTTATGACAAAACTGTGAGGTCTTTGCTTGTTTCACAGATAAGGAAACAGAGACTCAGAGGAGTTGAGTAACTTGCCCAAGGTCACAAAGCCAGCAAGTGGCAGAGCCAACATTTGAATCCAGCCTTACCCAACTACAGAGTTTGTAGCTGTTCCTCCTATTGATGCTCTCAGGGGCTCCCAGCCTAGTGTCTTCCTTCAATGTTTGTCTCCTCCCACTGATTGTGGGCTCTGGGGAGGGGAAGGGCCAGATTTTTCCTGTCTCCCTGATCCCTGCACACAGTCCAGCACTTGGCACAGAGTGGGGTCTCAGTTCATGGGGGCTGATGGGTGAGCAGCCTCAGTCAAGGCCAGATAGAGAATTTAGGCAGCGAGCTCCATGGAAGGCTGTCCCCTGCCAGCTGGGGCTCATCCCAGGCTGGGTGTGTGGAGACTGACTGTCATCGGAGACATGCATTCACAGCAAGGGCTACAGTTGCTGTCCTCCTTGGCACAGAGACCAAAGGCACAGGGGCTGGAGAAACAAGGAGTCAAAGGACAGTCAACCTAAAAAGGGGGGGTGCTTTTTAGGAAATATTGTTTTGAACCCAGCAGATGCCCGCTGTCTTTGGCTGAGAAGGAGAGCCATGTAGACGTGAGTTCAGCCAAAACTGAAATGCAGCCTTTTCCTGCAAGCAGCACACGCATACCCTTCTCTCAGGTGGTCTATGCAGCCACCAGAGGCAGGGGCTGCAGACTAGCTCTTCCGGGGTCCCAAAGGAGATCAACTGAGGAGTGAGAGTGCCCATCCCTGTGCTCGGCACTCTCAGCCATGGCTGCAGAAGCAAGGGGAGAAAGAGGGAAGGAACCCGGACGCAGGATGCAGGAGAGATCCTAAGTCCTGACTCTGGAACTCACCAGCTGAGAGGCTGGAGCAGATCATGGGCCTGTGAAATGGGAATGTTAGTGCCTGGCTCACCTGTGTGCTGTGAGGGCCATGAGCATCAGGCCACTCAAACTGAGAGAGCGTCTGAGATCTATAGTCTTCCCCCAAATAACTATGTGACTGTGTGAGTGTGTTGGTACCTGTATATCCAGTGGGCGAATGCAGATTTTTCCTGGATGAGCTGCCCGGAGGTTTGAAATTTTCTCCCCACCTTTAGTGTGTGACACTTTGTCATGGATGAACCACTCTGTCCACTCCACGTCTAGGTAGAAAGCAAAGAGCAGAGTCAGGAAGGCCCGTGGGGATAAATCAGGCTCAGCATATTCCCCCAAGTACCCTTGGCACCAACTTTAGTTAAAAACACCTCTTTAGCCCAGCTGGTATGGCTCAGTGGTTTAATATCAAGCTATGATCCAGGAGATGAGGGTTTGAGTCTCGGTCAGGGCACATGCCCGGGTTTCAGGCTTGATCTCAGCAGGGGGTGTGCAGGAGGCAGCCAATCAATGACTCTCTCATCACTGATGTTTCTGTCTCTCTCCCTCTCCCTTCCTCTCTCTGAAATCAATAAAGATATATTAAAAAAAAAAACCCAAAAAAACCCAAAACTAAACCAAAAAACAAACCTCTTTATAAAAGCAATAGATGTTCTTCATTATTGCAAAAAGAGGAAAGAGGAAATCCATGTGTGAACCCACTATCCAAGGATTGCTGTCTTCTACACCCCGATCCCCACGTGTGGGCTCCCTGAGGACCAGGACCCAGCAGTCCTGCTTGTATTTCCTGTTCAGTGCCACATCCTGGCATGGGAAAGGTACCCCGTGGGGAAAAAACATTCCTCTGGGCTATTGGCCATGTGGCTTAACGAATTAAAGACAAATTTCGGTTGCAACTTTAGTTGACTCTACCACAATGAAGAGGTCTTATTGGTGCAAGAGAAAAATCCTTGTTCTATAAACACAGTACGTCCTGGCCTTTTGCCCAAATGTTAGGTTTTACCAGGCGGCCCCAAATGCCTCACCTTGAACCCACTCGCTGGATGCGGAAACGTTGAAGTACTCGCCATGCTCTGACCGGAACAGTTTGAACACCCGGGCAGCGGCGGAGCCGCGGTGACCTGTCAGAGACCAGACATTCAGCAACAGACAAACCCCCAAATCCAGAGGGTGGCAGTCTAAAGTAGAAGAAGCCCTCCCCACCCCAGGTGTCTGGAGCTGCTTTTTTTTTTTTTTTAAAAAGGCCCATCCAAAGTGTCTTTTTAGCTCAAAATATTACCCCTGCTGGCTCTGTCCCAGTTCCCATCTTTCCTATGTCACTTGTTTTGGATTAAGTTGTTAAGAAAAATAATAAACAAAGCCACTCTTAAATGGAGCTGGAGCTGCCATCTCAGAGCAACTGCCTGGCACAGCTTCTACCTCAAATCTTCGTGATGTCAAAACAGGGCAAAATAACCTTTGGACAGAGACTAAGGCATCCTTGTGTCCCCAAGAACTGTTTGCAAAGATAATGACAAAGCAGATCTGCTGACTACTGGACTGATGGCTACCAGGCTGAAAATTAAAAACATTGTTTAGAATTAACATCACTATTTATGTTTTCTGCACCAATAGCAACGCCATCCTGCTATGGGTAGAACTGCTCCCCTTCCCTTTCTCATAAATACCCCTCACCTTGGTCTCTTAATGGGAACACTGTTTGGGCTTCTGTCTAAATTAATGATTCCCAAATAGCTATTCTTATTGATCTCATATAAACATGTGTTGCCTCTCACTTTGAAAGGCTTTTTATTTTTGAGTTAACAAAGTCAATGACGAGTTCTCCGAAAATGTATTCTTATTGATTGATTTTCAACAGTGTTGGCTTTTGCCACTTTGATGGGACATGGCCAATTAAGCAGCTGGTCAGTACAGGAGGTGTTGGGAGGTGGGTCAGCCATGCCCTGAGGGAAGACCTGAGTGTCTCCATCAGAGACACTGGGGGGATTGGGCTTCTTGCTACCCATTAATTACCGTGATACTCAATGTGGTCTTCCACAGAAGAAGAAGGATTTCCCTTCACAGTTATGAAACTCCAAGGGTGTCTGAAAAAAACAACAGAAGTAAAGTCCTTCACATGCCTGAGCCTGTGCTGGAGGCAGACAGGACACGGAATCGCATGGGTGAGCAGACCTCTGGGCATTCGGGGAAATGAGCTCCATGCTGGGCTCCCCTTCTCCCAAAGAGCAGGAGCCTTTCTTGCAAGCACGGGCTTCCTACCCACCTGGCTCGCCTGCTGTTTGCACATTGTGAGCCTCTCTGCTTTCCTGGCCATACACAAGGCATGAATCATAAATAAACAAGCCCGCAGACCTGCCTACACCTGCCAGACTCACTTAGGTCCTGAAGCAAGGGCTCTGATTCCTTTAGGCAAACAAGGAAATCTGTTCCAAGAGAAGGGTTATCCCTCTCACGCCAGGTGTCCCCGAGGCAACCTCGAGGAAAATGCCAGAGGCTGGAGTGACTGACCGCCTGGGATCAGCAACAGGCTTTGGGAAGGAAAGAGATGCCTCTCTTCTTAATGGGGAGCGAAGGAGAAAGAGAAGGTGTGAGATTTTGAAAAGCTGTCCAGTCATCTTCCCTCCATGGGAGTGTGTACAGCTAGGGGGCAGGACGGTCTTCTTACCCTACTTGTCTGGTCTCAAGTGCTTAGTATAGCCTATCTCTTGCCATAAGATCTCAACAGCTTTTGATCCTCAATAGCTTTTGATTTTCGTGTTGACCTCTGATCTTGGAAAGTAAGTCTATTATTGAGGTTGGGGATTTGACTGTGTCACTCTCTGGCTTAAATACTTCCATAGTTCCCCGTTGCCTGTTAGATGAAAACCAAGCTCCTTGGCATGAAGCAAAGGCCCTCCAGTGCTCACCACCGGCCTCCCCCAACCCCTGCCTCTGTTGCATACCTGCTGCTGTACTTGCCCTGGTTCAGGAAAGCCCCACATCAGCCCTGGGGCCTCTGAACCTGCTGTCTCTCCTGGGGAAGGTGCACTTATCCTCCCCGGCAGGTTCTGCCTCCTGCTGTCTCTCTCACTCTCAGATGCCTTGCCCTCCTATCCCTTAATGTCTGCCTTCCCACAAGAGCTCAGGACACCAAGTTTCGCCTACAGCCTTGTGCCAATGTCTGCTCAATGACTACTTTGGGAATGCATGAACAGAGGACGGGTCCAGGTCTTGGTTCTTCTACTGATTTTAGATGCTTCCAGTTTGTCACTCAAGGTGTGTCTGTGCAAACGAGGGGTAAAAAATTCCCGCACATCTAGTTCCTTTACCCATGGGAACAACCATGACAAAACATGGGAAGCATCCATCCTTCAGTGGCTCTTTTTGTAAGGACAGAATAGTTTCTGACAGTTACTGAGTCATTACTCTATGCTCATATTATCATATCTGATCCTCCCAACAGTCCTCGGAGATGGCTCCTGAGAGCTCCGTTTTACAGACGCAGAATTGAGCAGAGAGAGGGTGAGTCACTTGCCTGCGGTCACACCTAATAGGAGGTGCAGCCAGACTCAAAATCAAGACAAATCAGATGCCAGGGCTTGGGGCCTTCGTCATTATCTTCTTCTACTGAGGCCCTAAGTAGCCAGGCCCGTGTGGTTCAGTCTCTCATTGTGAATTAATGAACTGGCCTTTGGCTCATAAAACAATGCTAACAAAAGAGCCTTGTGATACCGAGGTGTCTTTGTCATCTTTGGCTGCTTGCATTTCCTGTCCAAGCCCTTTAGGAAGCAGCAGCCCCTGGGCTGTTGGGAATGCACTCTGGAACCTGGCCCTCCCTTGCTCAGGGGATGTCTGCCCAGCCAGGAAGGTGGCTCTGCTCTGAACCCAGAAAAGGCTCTGGCCCACCCGCATCTTGCCCATGATCTGCAGAGCTGAAGGGAAGGGCATCCCTGCCTCCAAAGAGCCACAGGACAGGAGGCCTCAGCTTCCCACCGTGATCCAACATGATAAAAAGGTGTGGCTACTATGGGGCAAGCAGCTTCCTCTTGGTGCCAATGAGTGTGTGAGCCAAAGTCAGGCAAGATGCTACAGTCTGAGGCAAACAGTGCTTACAGTGGAAGACACTGAAGCGCCCTTCCCATGGGGTGCTGGGCTGGGCAGGGACACTTTATATGATCTCTAAACAAGTGTCTGCGAATCCCCAGGCACATTGGACCCCTCTGTCAAAGACAATGTGCACACTGGCTGTGCATCTGGCTTGGCTCTCACACAGTAGACGACCAATCAATATTTTGCAAGTGGCTGACTGAATGAGTTCCTATAAATACAGACCTTCTGCATTTTCAGAGTAAAATATGCTTAGAAATTCCAGGTTCCCCTTAAGAACAAGCCTTAATATGTCCCATGCAGATGGAGAATGAGCCTGCATGTCTCCAAGTGACCCTGCGGGTGGTGTGGCCCTGGGAAAAGGGAAATTCTGTGGGGCTGAGGTTGCTCCAGGGTTCTGGAGCCTCATGGAGGTGGAGGTGATGGGCATCGGTACCTAAATCCGAGGTGCAGGAAGTGTTTGCTGCCCAGTTTGGTCATCACCTTCCTGGCTGTGTCATCCAGGTTTCGAGACCCTTCATCATTCACGGCGACAGACAGGATCCTGCCGGTAGGCACCGCATTCAAATACTGGACCAGACGCTCACTCTCTTTCTTGAATCTGTAGGTGTCAAACCTACAAAGGGCAGAGACGGGATTTTAATAGTTTTGACAGCAGCAAAAAAAACAAACAAAAACAGAGCAAAGCTCATATCCTTCTTGCAACAACCAATGTGCCACCCCAAGGTCCCAAGGGCTCTGGTTTTTAGAGAGTAGTTTTTATTACATCAAAAACCGAGCATCTCAAGCTTGACACCTGTAACCCACCCTCATACACATAAACTATCCAGGAAGCATAGATCTCAAGAAGTCTATACCATCGGTGACAAGAATTTACAAAGGAAAGACACAATTCTGTAATGATGTCATCTCTCCCCCACGTAGCTATAAAGATTTTTGTGCAATTACAGTGGAAATTCCAAAAGAATTTGTCTTGGGATGTAACAGGCGAAATAGTTCTAAAATGAATCTAGAAAAATAAACCAGTGTGAACAGCTAAGATTTTGGAAAAGAAAAACAGTGGTCAGGGGGCGGGTTAGCAGATAGGTGCTTCTGAGTCACTGTTTGCCTAACCTGGTTTGACTCGCCAAGGCCCCTCCCCAGGAATCAGCAACGGCAAGCCTCACGCCTCTCAGCGCATTTATGACCACACCACATGCCCACTCCTGCCTTCACTCACTCACCTTCATCTTCTCACTCCCTAATCAAATGCTTGCTACCTTTCAAGCACACGCCTGTTATTATTCCTCCAGGTAACCTTCTCAGGTGACTGTAGCCGGCATTTATGTGTGTGTGTTTAGTGTGTGTTATTATCTTTGCTCAGACATATTCAGCTGTCAGATTCTTTTTTTTTTAATCCTCACCAGAGGACATTTTTTGATTGATTTTTTTTTTTAGAGGGAGTGGAAGGGGGGGAGGGAGAGAGAGAGAGCAAAACGTTGATGTGAGATAGACACATCGATGAGTTGCCTCCCGCACATGCCCCAACCAGGGCCAGGGATTGAACCTGTAACCCAGGTACATGCCCTTGACCAGGAATCAAATTGGTGACTAACCACTGATCCACACCGGCCAGGCTCAGCTGTCAGATTCTTGAGGCTGCTGACAGATACTTTAAGTAAACGAGGTTGAGGAGGAGCAGGCATTCGTCTCTGGAGCCTCCACAGCAGCTGTCTGGAAAGCTTCTCATTCCTCAGTTCAATAATGAGTTCATCTTAAGGTTGGCTTGCTGCAAGCAACCCTATTGGACTGATTTAAGAAGCAGTGCCACCCTGACCAGTGCGGCTCAGTTGGTTGAACTTCATCCTGTTGTCAGTTCAATTCCCAGTCAGGGCACATGCCCAGGTTGTGGCTCGATCCCCAGCGGGGGGGGTGTAGGGGGCAGCCGATGGATGTTTCTCTTTCACATTGATGTTTCTCTCTCTCTCCCTCTCCCTTCCTCTCTCTCTCTAAAGTCAATAAAAACATATTAAAAAGAAGCAGCAGTGCCAAGGAGCCAGCACAGAACTGGGGAGATGGCCCCCTCCTGTGAGAAGGTAGGGGCTCTCCGGCATGCTTCGCGTCAACCATGCTCATCCTGGTTTCACCTGGTACCTGTGGGCTGGGCTTGCTCAACCCCAGGCCAAGGCAGGGGGCTGACACCAAGCACATGGAGGCAACAATGGTTAAGGGTCCGGGTCGATCTGGGTTTGGGTCCCAGCTCCCACACTTAATAACCTTATGACTCTGAGCAAACTCAGGCCCTCTGAGCCTCGGTGTCTATACCTGTATAATGTGGGTAATACCCGAAGTGAAAAACCTCAGCACTATTTACAACAGCCATGATACAGAAGCAACCTAAGCGTCCATGAAGTGGTGCCTACACACAACGGAGTACGACTCGGCCGTCGGAAAGGATGGAATCTTGCCATTTGCAACATGAATGGACCTAGGGGGTATTATGCTCAGTGGAATGAGTTAGACAGAGAAAGACAAATAACTGATCATTTCACTTATATGCAGAATCTAAAAAAAAAAATAAAGGAACAAACAAAACAGAAACTCATAGACAGAGAGAATAGACTGATGGTCGCCAGATGGGAGGGGGGTTGGGGTGGGTGGGTGAAAAATGTGAAGGGATTAAGTACAAATTGCTAGTTATAAAAATAGTCACGGGAGTGTTCAGTACAGCATAGGAAATATAATCAATAATATTGCAAGAACTATGTATGATGCCAGGTGGGCACTAGATGTACTGGGGTGATCACTTCATAAAGTATTTAACTGTCTAACTGCTACGTTGTACACAAGTCCAGGACGGCAGCTGCCCTATGTACAGAGACAAAGATGGGGAGGAGAGAAAAGCCTCGGACACCACTGTAGCTGTACATCATCCCGGGAAATTTTGTCCACAGACCCAGCCAATGACAACTTTAACTTGGGCTGCCCATTTGCACTCACCCAAAGGTGTTCCCTCAAGTGCGCCTTAACCAGCATGGGCATCCTCACAAACTTTTGTGCAGAGCCTTATGGACGAGGTCCACCTCTGCATGGACCAAGACCGAACTCGGATGAAGGGTCCCTTCCCTGGGATGCTCCGAGTAGACAAGTGGAGGCTGAAAAACCTAAACCCCCATCTCTGACTTGAAAACAAAAGGAGACAAAAGTCCTTGACCCCGAATCTCCCGCTCAGACAAGTGGAAACAGAAAAAGTAAAAGCCAGAACCTCGACCAAAGAGGGAGGTTTGGACCCAGTAGGCCACCAAGAGCCAGGCCGCCGGAGGAGCTGAGAGAGAACCGTCTCTTGTGGGCGCCTTCCAGGAATCCATGGGGGTGCCAGGAATCGAAGGATGGTCACTCTGGATTCCGTTGCTGCCACCTTGACCGTTAACTACATTAACTTTAGACCATAACACAGAATAAAAAGCACTTATTTGAGCAAAAGGAGCTGCAGCCCTGGACACAGACTCAGGTGTCAACCTAAGTGGTGTTCAACTGAGACCAAGAGGAGGCTGCCGTTTATAACGGAAGTTCCTGCCCTGGTTCCCAATTACATAAATAAGTTCAGTTCTGAACAGGGCAGGTCTTAGTCCACAGGTAGAAAGGAGAAACCAGGGTTTTCCTGCAAGGGCTGACTCAGACAGAGGGCGTGAACCGGCGGACACAGCTCAGGAAGCCGAGGGTTCGTTCAGAGGTCCTCCCAGGTCTGAGGAGTCCGCGAGGAGCCCGTCTGCAGATGCCAGTGGACACTTATTACTTATAAATTTGGGGCCCTCGGTTACCCATGGAGAGTCCAGGTCAGCAGATAAATTCCCTATCAGGGTTCACATCAAATGAACTTTTCCTCTTGGGTGCACACAGCCTTTGGTCAGGACAGGCTGTGTATGTGGTGACAGTGCCATAGAAGCTGAACATCCCCACTGCGCTTATGTCGCTGCAGCCGTGGCAACGCCGTAGCGAAGCACCGCTCCCGCGTGTGACTGCGCCGGTGTGACAAACACACTGAGCTGCCCGTGGTATAAAAGTACAGCAGATACAACTGTGCACAGTACACCATGCTTGATAATGACTGTCAACGACTCCTGCCGATTAATGCACTTACTGTGCTATAACTTCATCATTATTTTAGAGTGTATTCTTTCTACTCGTAAAATAAAATGTTTCCTGTAAAACACTGTTCCGCATTTCACTGGCAGCAGCCTCATACATTTTGTCTCTCAATTGCATCATTTTGCCTGGTGCCTGATTTAATCTCGTGTTGTGCTGTAAGTTTAGTGTTGCTTAAGTGCACAGTGTTTATAAAGTCTACAGTCGTGTATAGCATGTCCCGGGTTCATATGGTTCACATTCCCTCACCACCACTCATGACTCACCCAGACAACAATCTCCATTCACGGTAAGTGCCCTATATTGGTGTACCATTTTTTAACCTTTTACACCACATTTTTACTGTACCTTTTCTATGTTTAGATACACAAATACTTGCCATTGTGTTACAACTGCCTACAGTATTCAGTACAGTGACGTGCTGTACAGGTTTGAAGCCCAGGCTAGCCACGCAGCCCAGGTGTGTGGTGGGCTGTACCAATTAGGTCTGTGGAAGTGACTCTGATGTTCACACAAGGACGAATTTGCCTGACGACATCCCCACTGTTAAGTGGCACAGGACTGCATTGCCTGCTCTCTGCATTCCCACCTCTCTGCTGGCTTTTCCATGTTTGAGAACATTGTGCCCCTTCTCACCGCTGGCCCTTTGCACCTGCCATTCTGTCTTAAACACTCTTTCCCTGACTTGGCCTCCCCCCGTAGCTTTTGGCTCACATGTTGCTTCCTTGCCCTTTCCTGACCACTTGATACAACGTGGTCTTCCCTAGTGACTTTGCCATCACTCCATGTTTCTTCCCTAATTACTGATTATCACCGTCTGAAATTATGTTGTATGTACGTGTGTACATACGTGTATATGTGTGTGCTTGCTCCTGTTAGATTCAGCTCCTCTGGGCAAATGCCCGGTGAGGGAGAGATGTGGCTCCCTGAGGTCAGGTGATTCTGTTTCACTCACTGCTCTACTTCCAGCCCCGGAAGCAGCGTCTGGCTAGGGCTCAAGCTCAGTGAAAGTGCTCAGCGAAGCAGGCTGTGTTTACATGAGGGCAAACCTTACCGGTCAGAATGGATGACTGTCCCTGATTTGGGGTCGATGACATGAACAATGACTCCACGGTGACCCCAGCTCCTTTCAAAAAAATAACCTCCTTCCTCCATGCCACCCGGGTGAAGGGTCTTGTTCAGAAATGTCCAAGAGAGCTTTTTCTGTCCATGCAACTCCAGGGTGCCTCCTTCGCCGACTCCAATGTACTTCAGGCCGAAGTAAGGGTCCGGTTCAACACTTTCGTCTGCCCTACAAGAGAAGACAGCCCTCTGAGTCAGCCGACACCTCCCTTTACTGGATGCTGAACCCAGAGGGGGTTTCACTGCTCCGACTACCACTGAGGCCAGCACAGAGCCAGCCCCACTGGGTGACATCACAAGGTCAGGAGAAATAGTCTTACAACCATATCTTCCAAAGCCAGACCACAAGGAGACCAAAAGGCCAAGCGGAAATAAATAGCTTTAGCTTACGGTTGGCAAGTCTTTTCAGTGCTAAGTGTTTAATATTTTAGTCCATAACACACGTGGAATCACCTGGGCATGTACCATCTACCCCTGTGTATTCTTGGCTACCACTTCTCAAAGCTCTCCATTGCTTGAGGAGGGAGTGCAGCCAGAGGAAATGCTGCATAGAATTTTCTTTATCTTGTCCATCGTAACCAATTAAATAAACACAGAGCCTCCCTGAAAACCATGACATGATTGGAGCTGGCTGAAAGGCTGGCACAGACTTTGGTAACTTAAGTACAGACCCAGGGCACAACAGTGAAATGCCCTGTGTCCCTGTCCAGCTCACTCCATCGCAGATGTCTGTCTTGTTCATGATTGCGATCTGGCAGCACTCGAGGATAACAGTCTTGCACTAAAGCCTGTATGTCTTGTCCCTTTCTCTCCTTTAAAAAGCCTCCTTCCTGTCAGACCCAAGAGTAGCATTTGACCCATGGATGCTGTCTACCCACCTGCCATATAAAATGATGCTGAAGTTGCCCTGGAAAGGGCAGAGGGCACTCCCAGCATGCAACTCTCCTCCGTTGTCAATCAGGATGTGCCGGGTACGCAAAACAATGGTCTCATCATGGTCTTTAATGACTAGCTTTCCTAAGGAGGCAGGAATGAAGTGAGGTTTGAGAACAGGAGCGGTAGGGGTGAGGTTATACAATAGCCAAGGGCAGGAGTCTCAGGCCCCCATCTCATCCTAGCAGGCAAGAAGTACATTGTTCAAACACCTCTGTGCTTACTGTGCTTACAAGGGCTTGCTTTTCTCTCCTCTCTGCCTTACAAAGTGCCTGCTTGATTTACTGCCATCCCTGCGTGCATGGCATTCAGTGAGCAAGCCTCTGAATGCAAGATTAACTGGCATGCTCAGAGCACCAGTGAGGACTTTGCTTCATAAATGCTTCTCGCTCTATGTCTGGATCTCAGACAAGCCATTCCTAAGTGTTCAGAGCTGATGGGTATCTCAAGGAACCAGGTGCTCTGACATGAACCCAAAGCACTGAAGTTATGGTCACCTGGACCTCATCAGCAAGGCTCCGAGGCAGCGGAGGAAAGAGAGATTAGGGAGAGACTGGCTTACCTCCGTCTGAGATGTGGATGGAGTGGACGGTGGCAGATGAGGTTAGCAGGAGTGCTCGGCCCTGGCTAATGTGCACGTGGTTGTCCTGGTCATGGCCAGGGTTCCAGGGCTGCAGCTCAGGGCTCTGGTCAGGGCACTCGGCCGCCACTGTCAAGGAGAAAGAGATGTCATGGCTCCCACGCACCAACCTCACCATGCAAGATCACCACAGGCCACAGTAAAGGGCTCCCACGCATCATCGAGGCTCATGCCTCCTCTTTACTAGAACTAAAAGCAAGGCCTTCGAGAGCAAGGAGACCCTGCCTGAAACAGGAGCCAGGGGCCCCGGGTCTAGCCCCGTGTCTTTCATTAGTTCATCAGGTGTCTGTGCCCCACTTCCCTCGAGCCCCAGCCCTGCAGCACCTTCCTCTGAGCTCATGTTTGCCTTGCCGTCCACCCTACCTCAGGCTTTAAATCTCCTTTACTAAGATGAGAATCTCACACTTTTTGTTTTACTAAAACAGCTCTCCCAGCTATTGTAAATCCCAAGGGACTCAAACGACAAGAAAACGTGGTCTTGCTTATCAGTGAACTTTCCGTTTTAACACAAAGCAGGGTAGCCAGGATGGGCAGGAGGCATCTGCGTCTTCTCTCTGCAGCCCACGGTGGTCACCAGGGCTCTGGAGCCTCCATCCCACTGAGGGGCTTCTCACGGTCAGTGCCCGTCCCTTGGTTTGTCTTCAACAGGTCAAGTGCTGGCTGGCTTTCAGCAAGGGCCAGTCAGAGACCCTGGGCTGCCTTCCCCCTAGTTCGGGACCTGGAGTGTCCGTGTGTAAGGAGGTGACTCCTCAGTCACGCGGGAAACACATGAAGCCACCTGGGGAGCTCAGTTGATATTGAGATTTAAAAAAAAAAAAAATAGATCTAAACCTCATCTAGAGTGCATGTTTCATGAACCCAGATCTTACGATGGAAACACCGGAGGGAACACTGTCATCAGGTGGCCCAGAGGTGGCAAGGTGGCTCACAGATATGTGGTTTGTAAAATTTGAGCTGGTTGCCAACGTCTAACAAGTACGGAGCTTTTACATCAAAATCTAGATTTCTAGCTTCTCTTAAAAATTTATAAGATCGTACAACAGGGGCCCCGCCTTCACACAGGGGAGCAATTTGCCACAACTGAGAAGTGGGTGTCACTTACAGGGGCCTGAACTCCCCAGGTGACTACAGTCCTGTCTGACCAGCTTCACTGGTTTACATCAAGTACCTGGCTCTAGACGCTGAGTGTGCAACCCCCGAGTCTAGTCTGGACACTTCCTTTTGCACATGGGGAGACTGAAGCCCAGAATGAGACCTATCAGTGACCCAGGGGTGAACTGAGACCATCAGAGCCTGGACGCCCTGCCCCTGCCCTGTGGCTTCTCCTGCCCCACCCCAGCTGCTTGCTTCCACTGCTGTGCTGTGGCTCACCTGTGGTCGTGGCCCCAGGGAAGAGGACCAGGAGGAGCCAGCTGACTCTGAGCATCACCTTGAAGGAACAGTCCTGCCTCCCGGCAAATCCCATCCTGGCTGAGTTTCCCCTGCAACAGAAGCGCACCGGGTCAGATCTGCATCCTCCACAGGCAGACACACACACACAGCCAAGGCCACGTGCACACAGAGGCAGTGCCAGGGCGGGCACACTCCAGCTGCCATGACTCAGCGCTGGGCAGATTGGGGCATGCAAACCCTGCCATCGTCCCGCCTATGTCCTGCAGCTCAGAGACCCTGTGATGGATGGAATTCCACCTCTGATGCTCGAGTTCCCTCCCTTCCATGATGAAGCTCTTTTTTTTCCCTTAAAACACAGAGAAAAACAAACATACTCCCACTGAACAGGACCCTGGAGTTAGATGCCACCAACTTGCTGTGTGACCTCTGGGCCTCAGTTTCCTAATCTGAAAAAGGAAGATGTAAACAGGCTGATTTCTAACCTTGACTCCACCTTTGTCAGTCTGTGCTTCTAAAATTAACTATTGAAAATAATACTGAAATCCTAAATATAACACCTGTGTGTTAAAAAACTTCCTACGACCCAGACAAGAGGAAGGTCGGGGCAGAGAGAGATGAGTCCACCAATATCCATTTTCACTCTTTACTTAGTAAAAGAACCACTGATTTTTATCTGGGCACATGGCCCCTGGAATGAAGGCTACCTTCTCCAGTCTCTCTCACATTAGCAGTAGCCTTGGAATTAACTTCTGGCCAACAGAGCAGACGTATAGTGTGTGGATTTTATGAAATGTTCTTAAGGGAAGGCAGGATGGAAGTCTTTCTCCTCTCCTTCCTGCTGACTGGAATATAGGTATGATGCCTGGATCTTCAGCAGCTATCTTTGGCCATGTAGGGGGAGCCGTGCAAAGCAAATAGAAAGGCCCTAGACTCCAACCGTGTGGAGAACTGGGCAGCTCTGGCGTACAGATTTATTTTTATGTGAGAGAGATTTACTAAACTTCCATTTTATGAAGCCACTTATTTTCCCCCCTTTACTCATACAGAAGGTGATACGAGAATCTGTCTAGATAAACCTCAAGACAGGAACTTTTTAAAAAAGACGCCAGATTGCCCTTTCAGTATACAATGCCACTTGGAGAAACATCTTTGTCTTCAAGTCCCATGTGGCACGCAGATTACGCAGACAGGGCCTGGGGAGAGCCCATGTCCCCAGGTCCTCCCCTGAGCCTGACTCTGTAGTTGTGCCCAGAAACAGATATTCTGCCATACTGAGAAAGCGGCTCAAATCTATCTCAGGCATCCCTCTGAACTAGCTCGGGGACAAATCTGATCATCCCTGACCTTTTACACCAGGTGAGTGCTCTGTGGGAGCTCAGTGAGTTGGGACCACAGGAGGGTCTGAAAGGGAGCAACTGGCCCTCTGCCGGGTCCCTCTGCACAGGTGTGCTGGGGGCCCTGGGGAGGGAGGGAACGGTCCTCCCAGGATCAATGCCCGCGGTGTCCTTGTAACGGGCACCCGAGAGCTGCAGAGAACAAGAGGGCCCATTCTAGTGCCTCAGCGGTGGCTGAAGTCACGCATCATGGCATCTGGGAACGGTGCCTTTCCCACGGCCCCAGAGGAGGAGTGTCCGCTTTCATGCTCTTTGCAATAGAAAGGAGGGGACACTGGGGACAGGAGTGCTCTGTTGCCCTGCTCTCAAGTCTCCATCAGTTTAGAGAAACCAAAGGTAGTCTGTCGGCTGCTGCTGAGAAGCCCCAAATCGTCAAGGAGTTCCTCTGAGGGAGCCTGGCCTTTGGGTCCAAGAGCCAGTCCCTTCACTTATAAAGGAAAGTGACAAGTGGCAAGGTCCAAGGTGGTGGTGGGAGGGCGGTGTGGATGAGGCCCCCTCCTGCCCTGAGGGCTGGTCACCTGCAGCGAGGGGTTCCCTCTGGGCCTGCACGTCCTGGTTCAGAGAGGGAGGCTGGCCTGACCACAGGCTTGGGTCTCTGACCCCGTCTCATCAGATCACAGCTCATTTCACAGACCAAAAAGATCACGTTCTGAGTGAATGTACAGACAATTCCCCTTGGAAGGATCATCCTCAAACCTCTTCTTCCTAATGTTACAGAGTTCTCCTGCTGTGTCTCACAGCCGGCCCTGCCTGAGCCGTGGAGGCAGAGTGCCCTTGCCCTAAGACCTGTAACCCATTATCGCTGGGGGGGTGTCTGCGTGCTTCCTTGCCCGTGAGTAGGTTCCATCACCTCAGTATAAACAGCAGCCCCCAGAAACAGTCTGTTGAAGTGACCCCAAATAGTTCTCAAATTTCACTTGGGAGTTTGACACCAGAGGATGACAGCTTTCCCAGTCGGCCACTGAAAGCTCCCTGGCATTGGAGTCGGGGTTCAGCTTCTCCAGCTGCCAAGATACCATTGGGAAGCAAATCCCAGCTGCGGGAGGCCTGAGATGAGTGCCGTCAGCTAACGATGCAAGAAGTCTCTGCCGGAAGCTGGTGGCCGAGGCTGGACGACAGCTGCCCTTGCTGGTCCCGAGGCCCTGAGCTGGCCTGTTCCCTAAGGGGAGTGGTGACCCCTCAGGAGAGCCCGTCCATGTGGAAGAAGAACCTGGACACGCTTTGTGGAAGGCAGCACTTCAGGTTCCTCACAGTGACATACGACTGTTTTCTGGAGGCTGTGTCCCCCCTCCAGCTGCGGCTCGGTGTCTGCATTTGCCAGGCCTCACGGGGACAAGGAGATGCAGGAGCGAAGTGGGAACCGGGGATGCTGCCTGTCGTGTCTCTGCCTCTCCCGGCTGCTCACACCAGGCTCCTGGGACTGTCCTCTTCCGGCAGGAGGCCCGGTCACAGCTGCCCTGGCCCCAGGGCTTGTCACCTGCACAAAGAGAGGAGCAGTGTTATTCCAGCCTCCAGAGGGGCCCCTGGATTCTTTTTCCTTAATCTTTAGATTATTTTTTACATTTATTTTTCAGTTACAGTTGACATTCAATATTATATTAGTTTCAGGTATACAACACAGTAATTAGACACTGATATAACTTACAAGGTTTTATCATGGACACCCCCACCCCAAGCATATTAGAGCCTGCCGTCGAGTTCTGCTGTGTCAAGTCCAAACCCCCTCTACACCCGGAATAAGCTCGTCTTCCGCTGCCGCTCTGAAACCCCACCCCATCCTCTCGGCACACATGGTCCTGGAGCCCCGTGCGCGTTACTGTGCTGGCGCTGGGGGAGCAGGAGGTAAGATCCTTGCCCTCAAAATGACCCCCACCATCGCCTATGCAACAGGCACGACATCTAAACAACAAGCAGGACCCTCCAGCCGAGGAGAGGCTGCCCAATGGAGAGCTAACTCTTACTCGCTTGAGGTTAAATGCTGGGGTAAATCATTCGCCACAACAAAACCCATCCCTCTCCTTTGTGTTTGAGGCCCTGCTGTCTGATACAGTAGCTGCTGGTCACAGGTGGTGTACTGGGCAAATTTAAATTTCATTAAAGTTAGCTAAAATTGAAAATCTGGTTCCGCAGTCACATGGGACACATTTCAAGGGCTCGGTGGCCATTAGCAGCCAGCAGCCACGGTGCCGGGCAGCACAGATCTAGAACAGGTCCAGGGTTGTGGAAACTTGTACTGGACAGGCAGGCAGCTCTGGTTTGGAGCCCCAGTGAGTACTGAGGGTGGTTTAAAAGGTCCACACTAGAGCCCCAACTCAGCTCAGAGCCCGGTTCTCCAGGTGATATTCCCAGACCAGGGGCACAGCCCCATTCCACACCTGCCGACCTGCTGGACCCGTGTCTCCAATCCTCCAGACGACTGCACTGTGTGCGGAGTGAGCACCTGTGGTCCCTCAGCTGCCAGTGAGGTGTCACGCTCATGACCATGGGACAGAGTACTGGCTACGCTTGGAGCCTTCAGGTTCTGTCGCAAGACAGATACAAATGTAACTCTCAGGTCTGCCACAGAGCTGTGGGTGAACGTGGCCATCGCCCAGACGGGTGTGGCTCGGCGGTTGAGCGTCGACCTGGGATCCAGGCGATCAGGGTTCGATTCCCGGTCAGGGCACAGGCCCGGGTTGTGGGCTCGATCAATGACTCTCTCATCATTGATGTTTCTGTGTCTCTCTCTCCCTCTCTCTGAAATCAATAAAAATATTTTTTTAAAAAAAAAAAGAACGTGGCCATTGATGGAACAAGTTAAGCCTCAGTTTCCTCATCTGTAAAATGGTGGAATAACTGTAGCTGCTAGATAGGGCTGCTGGGTGGAATGAGGGGATCATGTATGTGTGGCACAGTGACAGTGCCACAGTGTTCCACCAATGTGAGTGGATTACCGTCATCCACGCCTGCCTCCTGTTCACTGCCTCACGGAGTGGACCCTCGGCCCAACACCTCACGGAGTCGACCCTCAGCCCAACACACCAGGTGGGATTTTTAGCTCCCTCCACTGATAAATTGGTAAAACTGCATCATCCGTTAAGAGGCACCTCGAACACAAGAGGCGCTTTCTCAGGAACTTGACCTCAGGGACTTTACGCAGGAAACCCGCCCCCACCAGGCAGTATGTTTATGGAGTGGAGAAAATATACAAGTATGACATAATGGAGCCCACACTGGGCTCTGGGCACAGGTTCTGCCTGGACCGTGCAAGCGTGGCTGATGGGCCACCTTCCTGGGAAGAGCGCATAAGGGGTGGTGGGCTCCTGGAACCTCAGAGGACAAGGAGGGGCAGAGGGGAGGTCCTCTCCCTCCTGGATGGCTTCGCTTGTCCCTACCGGTCCAGCAAAATAGAGCCCCCAAAAAAAGAAGGGAGGGAGATAAAGAGATTAAAAGGATTATTTACACAGGCCGGATTATTACTCAGCCAGGATTAAGTTACCACTGGGGTGGATGGGCGGTGACCGGGAGAAGGAAGCCTGTGTGCAGGGAGCAGGCTGGTTCTCGGCCCCACCGTACACGATCTTCCTGCTGCCAGCACTGTGTACCAGAGGGTCCCCACCGTAGGGGCTGCTTCCTGCCTCACTGTGAAAGCTGCCCTCCCGTCTCATCTGCAAGGAGAGAGGCTGCTCTGTCAGACTCC